CCCTGGTCAACTCCTACATCCCCACCTTGGCTCCCTCCACCTCTCGGCGTGGATGCTGTATGGGTGAACCCCGAGGAGAAGACCTGTTCAGAGGGAGTCCAACAGGTCCTCCTGGAAAGTAGGAAGCCCTCAACTAGACTTACTTACCTGGCCAAGTCGACGAGGTTTTCCCGCTGGGCGTCTGAACTGGGCATTTGTCCATACAGGCTGTCCTGGACTACCTGCTCCATTTGAGGAACCAGGGCCTGGCACACACTTCCATCTCTGCTTTTCACCCACTGATCCAAGGACAGACGGTGTTTTCCCATGACATGATGGTCAGAATCCTGAGGGGGCTGGAGAGACTCTTCCTGCAGGTACGGGCCCCTGTCCCACAGTGGGATCTTAACTTGGTCTTCTCTAGGCTCACTGGCCTGCCCTTTGAGCCGCTGGGTTCCTGCTCCCTTTCCCACCTGTCATCGAAGGTTGCATTCTTGGTGGTGGTGGTGATGTCTGTGAGACGGGTCTCTGAAATTAAAGCCTTGACCTCAGAACCTCCGTACACAGTCTTCTGCAAAGATAAGGTTCAGTTGTGGCCCTACCTGGCCTTCCTGCCAAAGGTGGTCTCCACCTTCCATATGAACCAGGACATCTTCCTCCTGGTGTTCTGTCTCAAACCGCACAAGACCAGTGAAGAGAGGCGTCTTCACGCCTTGAGCGGCCGGAGGGCCTTGGCTTTCTACTTAGAATGTACAAAGCCTTTCCGTAAACTCTTCCTCACTACAGCGGATAGGATGAAGGGTCACCCAGTGTCCTCACAGAGGATTTCCAATTGGATTACCTCATGCATAAGGACCTTTTATGACTTGGTGGGGGTTCTGCCGTCGATTTTCAGAGCCCACTTGATGAGAGTGCAGGCGTCTTCGGCAGTCTTCCTGATGCCCATCCCTATCCAGGACATCTGTAGAGCCGCAACGTGGTCCTCCATTCATGTTTACCTCTCATTATGCCATTATTCAGCGGGCCAGAGACGACTCTGGGTTCGGCAGAGCTGTGTTGCAATCGACATGTCCATGAACTGCTACCCACTTCCAGGGGTACTAGAGTCCCCTAATATGGAGTGGACATGGGCAAGTACTCGAAGAAAAGACAGTTACCTTTTTCCGTAACTGGCGTTCTTCGAGGTAACTGTCTTTTCACAATGAGCCCCCACTCAATAGCATTCAGCTCAGGCTAACGAAAGATTGTGGCATCTTCAAAGAAGAAAACTGCAGGCGTTAACTTGTTAAGGGTAATATAACAAACTTTTGAAACTATATTTGGGGTACTGATGATCTTGTAGGTATTCCGTCAGTTTGTGTGGGAAAAATTGTCAGTGGGCTCGATCCTATGAAAAGGGGTCTCACCCGAAGCGGTTGAAAATGCTGGGGGAAGAACTTGGAGTAAGCTTTCTTGTAGGAGATGAGAAAATGTCTTAATTTTAGTCTCACAAAACATGACAATGCGCATGTGCAGAATTTGTCCCCCGCAGATTTCTTTGCCTCCCCGCAGAAAAATGACTTTCTGAGGGGGAAGCACAGGGAAGCCACAAGAGTGCTTATGCAACTCTTCCCAGCAGTATGTTTCAGGACCCCAGGGCAGCTGGCAGAGAGGTAAATCACTGTGGGGCAAGAGGCAGGACTAGGGAAGACCTAGGAGGTGCCTTCTACCCTGTACTGGGCTCAGCTGCTAGTCCTAGCTGGGCTGGGAAGGACGGGACTTCCTCTTCCCATGCGCAGCATGTGGAGCCAGGCCAGACCCGACCCACCCCACCCCACCCCACCCCTAGATTTCTCCCTCAGATGAAGGAAGCTCTGCAAACTCCACTCCCCCCTCTGCTTCCTGCACCGATCCCCCCTCCGCTGCAGGGGGAGGGATCCCTGTACCCGCATCTACCCAACCTCTGTGCATCCAGACCCCTCATAGCCAGACCCTCCGGCTGAGCCTCACCCCTCTGCACTCACAGTCCCTCCCCCCACCCAAAGAGCCCCACTCTTCCTGCACCTGGACCACCCTCACAAGCCACCCATACCTGTATTCCCATCCCACTGAGTCTCCACCAGCTGCATCTGGACCTACCCCACACCCACACCCTTGCTGAGCTCCATCTCCCCCAAACTCACTCCTCTACCGCTGAGCCCCAACCACCTTCACCTGGCCCCTGCAGAGTCCTATTACCATTGTACCCAGCTATGGTGCACTCTAACTCAGGAACCAATCCATACAACAAACCTCGATGCCAACTCTGTCCACATATCTACACCAGCAACACCATCACAGGACCTAACCAGATCAGCTACAACATCACTGGTTCATTCACCTGCACGTCCACCAATATTATATACGCCATCATGTGCCAACAATGCCCCTCTATGTACATCGGTCAAACTGGACAGTCCCTACGTAAAAGGATAAATGGACACAAGTCCGATATTAGGAATGGCAATATACAAAAACCTGTAGGAGAACATATCAACCTTCCTGGCCACACAATAGAAGATTTTAAGGTAGCCATCCTGCAGCAAAAAAACTTCAGGATCAGACTTAAAAGAGAAACTGCTGAGCTTCAGTTCATTTGCAAATTTGACACTATCAGCTCAGGATTAAACAAAGACTCTGAATGGCTAGCCAACTACAAAAGCAGTTTTTCCTCCCTTGGTGTTCACACCTCAACTGCTAGAAGAGGGCCTCATCCTCCCTGATTGAACTAACCTCGTTATCTCCAGACTGATTCTGACCTTCATATTTATACCTGCCTCTGGAAATTTCCATTACATGCATCTGTCGAAGTGGGTATTCCCCCATGAAAGCTTATGCTCCAATACATCTGTTAGTCTATATGGTGCCATAGGACTCTTTGTTGCTTTTTACAGATCCAGACTAACACAGCTACCCCTCTGATACTAGATTCATCAAGCCAGTAACAAAAGAGCTTCTGCAGTACCACACTGATTAACTAGAAGCCAAATAGTTCCATGTAGGCATTCCAGCCCTTAGAACTGTTTATCTGGATGGGAGCTAATGTGGTGAGGGGTTAATGAAAACCTAATTCACCATATGTGAGATTCTTACTAATCCCAGAGGATCAGACACAGCCTTCAGGTTAATATATTTCAGATCTTACCCAAATATCATAGTCAACCAATCTTTAGTAAACCAGTAAAGATTTATTAATAAAAGAAGAGTTGTAAATGGTTAATAGATCATATACTTACAAATGATTGCAAAGTCCTTATGAAGTTTGTAGCAGTGATGAAATAGATTTCTGGCTTGTAAAGTCTCTCTGGTAACTTCCAAAAGATTAGAAGGTCCTCAGTCCATAGTTCAAGATGCTCCTTTTAGTTGTAAATCCCCAGACTAGAGATTTTGAGCAGGAAAGAGGCAAAATAAAGATATTTCAGGGGTCTTTTATATCCTCTGCTATGTGCCTGGAAACTTACTGGGTGACTGGGCAACAAAATGGTAGATGAAAATTCAATGTTGATAAATGCAAAGTAATGCACATTGGAAAACAATTCCAACTATACATAAAAAATGATGGGGTCTAAATTAGCTGTTACCGCTCAAGAAAGAATCCTTGGAGTCATTGTGGATAGTTCTCTGAAACCATCCACTCAATGTTCAATAGCAGTCAAAAAAGCGAACAGAATGTTGGGAATAATTAGGAAAGGGATAGCTAATAAGACAGAAAATATCATATTGCCTCTATATAAATCCATGGTATGCCCACATCTTGAATACTGCACGCAGATGTGGTCACCCCATCTCAAAAAAGATATGTTGGAATGGGCAAAGGTTCAGAAAAGGGCAACAAAAATGATTAGGGGTATGGAACTGCTTCCATATGAGGAGCGATTAATAAGATGGGGACTATTTGGCTTGGAAAAGAGATGACTAAGGGGGGATATGATAGAGGTCTATAAAATCATGACTGGTGTGAAGAAAGTAAATAAGGAAGTGTTATTTACTACTTCTCATAACACAAGAACTAGGGGCCACCAAATGAAATTAATAGGCAGCAGGTTTAAAACAAACTAAATACTTTATTTCGTCACATGATGCTCAGTCAACCTGTGGAACTCTTTGCCAGAGGATGTTGTGAGGGCCAAGACTATAAGGGGTCAAAAAAGAACTAGATAAGTTCATGGAGGATAGGTCCATCGATGGCTGTTAGCCAGGATGTGCAGGGATGGTGTCCCTAGCCTTATTTGCCAGAAGCTGGGAATGGGCAACGGGGTGGATCACTTGACGATTACCTGTTCTGTTCATTCCCTCTGAAGTACCTGGCATTGGCCACAGTCGGAGGACAGGATACGGTGCTAGATGGACCTTTGGTTTGACCCAGTATGTTTGTTCTTATGTTACTATCCCAAACAAAGCTCATAGCCCCTGCGTGTGGAAAATTACTGGCCCAAGATGGAGTCCAGGCCACATGAGCATATCACATGTTTTTACGTGGTTTGCTGAATCACAGGGGTGCGTCATTGGCATCGCACTGTCTGAGGCATCTGCAGGAAGACCTACTATGTGGGATGAGGTTTTTTCAATGGCCCCTTGTGAGAGCTGAGTGTCTTTGATGGGCCATCAGTACATAGCTTTCTAGCCTTGATGTAAATCCATCTGGTGGATATCAATCATCAGGAATACAACACAGCCAATATTCATAACTTCAAATACAAACATATGTGGATTTAACCAGGATAATGATACTTGATTGTAACTTTTCCATTGATGCCTTACATGATACACAATTTCCATAAATCCTATACAAAGTGTAACTGATATAAATGGTCACCTTTCTTATACACAGCATTACACTTTCACACAAATGGTTTAGATGTCTTGCATTGTTTTATTCCAATGACTATTGGATGGAGGGTGGCCCTGGGGCTGGATTATAGGCTAGGAAGTAATGGGTTCGTGTATCTTTTTCAGGGATTGCACATATTTAAAATAACAAATATTAAACTTTTTAATTTCAGGCTCAGCGATCTGTTCTGACTTCTAAGCATTCAGTGTCTGAAATACCTGAAGTTGTGGATGACTTTCTTTGCAATTTTCTGGTCAGAATGGGGATGGTCAGAACCCTTGACTGCTTCCAAACTGAATGGTAAAACTTTTTAAATGTCCATCTTCAAAAAAAGTCAAACTTTATTTTGAGAAACCTTCTCTTCGAGAAAATAAGCTTAGGTTGAGAATGGAAACAATCATTTTAGGGCCAGATTTTTCAAAAGAGCTTAACCCCAGCAGCTCCTATTTAGACACTTAAATGAAGTGACCAGAAGTTTTCGGAAACCACAAGCTTCCACTGTTCTCTTTTTTGAAAATCTGGGCACTTTTATTTAGGTGCTGGGCACTTATGAAAACCTGGCATATAGCAGTTTCCTTGTCCAAGTGTTTGGAGCACGTTCTATTGAATAGTTACTTCATTTCTCGAGGCAGAATGATCACAACTTTTATCATTTGCATTGGTTAGAAAATTGTGATGGCTACCCTTGTATTTTTTGTCTTTTTAATTTAAGTCAAATAATACTCAGAAGATTGACCTTGTGACTACTTACTTCTGTTCTCTTTTCTGTATTTTTAAGTGGCACTCAGAGATTATTATTTTTTGTCCCACAATTTGCAAGCAGAGGAATTGTATAGGAGTTCCATGGACTGCTTTTAAAATATATATTCAAAGTCATATACTTTGTTTACTGATTAACTGTCAGAATGACAAAGCTTCTGTGGGGGGGAGAGAGATATGTTATGGATCTATAGGGGTGACTCTGGTAGCAAGATTCTAATGATACCGCTTCCGTTAGCCCGTTTCAAATCCTCCAAGTAATTTGGGTGGGAGGGGCGGATCCTATCTACCTGAAATGTTTTAGTCTTTCTTTTAAGGCCCGGGGGAATTCTTTGGGGTTTGTTGTTTGTTTGGGTTTTTTTAGGCTGTTTGACAAGCTATTTTGGAATAATGCAATTTGAAAAAAGAGTTGTCTTTTTCACATAGTGAAAAATCTAACTTTTAAGAAACATATGTTTAAAGCTTGAAACTTCTTGTTTTATTACTCACTGAGTCATTGTGTCTAGTTCATTGGACCTGGACCAAGCCCCAGCCACTTGTAAGACACTGGTGTTACTGATGCAGAGTTTCCAAAGGCAGGCATTGCCTATGGAGCTTATGCTGCATTTTTTTTTTGTATACAATGTCTGCATGAATGTGTTTAAAATAATGAAAGAGCACCGTTCAGGAGCCTGTGTAACTCTTAGATGGTAAGCAGTTGATGATTAATATCAGATATGTAACTCTGATGGCAAAAGACAGCTAATACTAGACCGATATAAATGACAGCTTTTGTATGGAACTGAAACTTTGCAAGGGTCATATCCTGCTTGGATTCAAGTCCATGGCAAAGCTCCCATTGACTCTGAACAGAAGAGGATCAGACCCTAATTTAGGGCTTGATCTTTCAAACCTTTGCTCACGTGAATAGTTCTTCCTCACATGGGCAATACCTTTAACTTCAATGATACTACTTGTATAAGTAAGGATTTTCAGGATCGAGTCCTAGGGTATTAAGACACTTCCTTTGCAATACATTTTTATGATATTAGCAAGTGATTTTTAAACTGGTTTTAAATTGCTGATTTACACTGTTAATGAGGTGAGAGCAGATTAGTGTTATCAAATTCTTCTTTGAACTGGTACCTTCCTCTTGCTAATGTACAGCTGATCCATGCTGTGATCAAGTCCTAATGGGATTTAAAATGAGAAAATAATTAGTTGAGAACTTCTTTCATTTACACCAAAAGAGCTTGACTAATTTATCAAATGATCCTCTTAAATGTAATAGTCTGCCTAAGATCTAATGCTGTATTAAATTAGACAAGATTATTAGTGTTTATATTGCAACTTGAGAAAATAGAGTACTTTTAAAATATCTTTCTGTCTGGATATATAAAAAAAATTATGTTCATATTGATGTCTTATTTCAAATGATAAATAAGTACTATTTTTCTTCATTGTAATGAATGGTGCTATATCATATTGTACTTATTTGTGCAAATCTCCATGTACACGTAACGTCTATTCTAACGATACTCCTGGGGAATTTAAAACCATGTTTGAAAATACTTATGGAATATTGCAAAATATCATAAACTTCTGGTATGTTCTGTATTCTTCTGACTCCCCAAACTTTTTGTAATGCCTTTTTGCTTGCTGATGGTATTGGATTGACAGTTCTGGAGAATGAAGCACTAGGGCAGATTAACTGGAGATCTTTGCATCCGTTGATATGGGCTCCCTAGTCCCAAAGAGCTCATTGCAAGCTACTGATCAGTTCTCATCTAGTTTTTACTACCTTTGGTCAGAAAACTCATAACTGGCAATCACTGATTTATTTTTTTAAGCACTCCTCAGTTTACCTGGTTGTGTTTCCGCCTTTGGGTGAAAGATGGGCTGTCTCCAAGTACTTTGGGGGACAGGTAAATAATTTGCTAATCTACCTTTACTGAGTATGGACAAAATCATAGACTGGCTTGTGTGGCCATGCCAGACTGTAGGGGTGTGTGTGTGCAGAGCATGCCCTCTCTTTTGTATAGGCTACATGTATTATGGGGTAGCAATGTGAGTGGAAAGCAGACTCCGTAGAGTTGCAATGTCCTCCCTTGTGCAGTTGCACCAGCACACTGGGGGAAAGTTTGCTACACTGAGTATAGACCTAATGCAGCATAATTCCTTCCTGGCGCAGCAGAGAAACCCGATTATGATTGAGCCACAATCTCCCACCCAGGCTATGCAAGGGGCAGTGCAACAATGTGTTGCCTATGTTGGCCGGACTATACATTAAAAATCTAGCCCTATTGAAGGAAAACAAAGGACACAGATTTGCCTGCTTCACTGGAGGGAATTCAGAGGAACCCATTCTGGTCTTTAAAGCCATATATTTTATCTAAATATCTGTGTGTTTGTAACCCTGTGCAGTTCTAGAGCACCTATAACTTTAATGTCAGAGTGCACTTTACATAATTTAAATCAGAAGTAAACAAAATCTTTCCCTAGTAGTGAGTATATACTAGTCACTACATATGACGTTTTCACTGTATTGTAAATTCATGCTACTGAATGTTTAATGTAAGGCTGCTAAGGTGCACTGCAGTTAATGGATATATAAGTCTTATCCAGCTATACTGAAGCTGTGTGTGTGAGAGACAGGCACAGCATGGCACTGCAAGTCTCCACCAGTCTGCCTCAGTGATAAATTGGAGTGGCTACTCTGAGGGTAAAGAGGTAATCAAACTTCTATGCTCTCTTCTTTCTTGGCCTTGCTGCTGAGATTTCCAATAAGAACGGTAGTGTGACAGCATGTCATCTTAAATATTAAAGGTGTTGAACATTTTATCTGATATCCAAAGATGAACTATCGTGCTAATCAGTCAATCCCCACATCCATTAGCTAACAAATGCAGAATCATCACACCACCCAATTCCTTCAAAACATTTGTGGAGACCTGAATCTGTTTATGGCTTGTATTCCAAGCATATTGAATTTCATGATTTCAGGGTAGACACTGTGGGCTTTAAATCATACCCTCACAGTTGGTGGTCTGTCTTCTTGAGAATCTCATGTCATAGGTACTTGGGTTACTTCGAATTAAGCTGTGGTGAAGAGCTTGAAGAATGCCCACCTGTACTATGTATGTCTGGCTCTAACCACACTTTAATTTGTTTCACAATTCCTTTTCAAATTTTAAAAGAAAAGAGTGAGAACTATCTAGCTATAAATACTCTATGAATTTTCACCAGCCAAATTTAACGTAGTAAGACCTAACCACACTTTCTGCTCTAGCAGTATGCTTTTCCCCCCTTTTCACTGAAAAGGTAATGAGACATGGGTTTTTAATGGTTGTCTTGGAGAAGAGCATGTTAATTTTAATGAAATACAATTAATTCTGAAAAATCTCTTTCAGGGTTCTTAGCTCTGCTAGAAGCTAACTTCATCAATTATCCATGTCCTATGTATCTTCATATAGAAAGTTGATGGCTTTCATGCTAGGGCATTCTGTTGAGAAATTTGTCTGACAAAAGGAGTATATATAAATTGAATCTCCAACTGGTGGTATTGATGGTTTTACCCCATGACATTCATAGGTTTCTAGCTAGTGTAGCCAGCAGTTATGCAATTATCTGAGATAGAAAAATAAAGAAATCCTATATATCAACTCTATCCCTAACACACAGCCTTGCAGAGCAGTACAGAAGAATAAAGATTCTCCTCCTCTGTCCAGCAGTGGTGTTGCTGTACAGATTGCAGTTCTAGGTGGAGAAGGGGAAGGGCAACTAATACTTTCCCATCATGATCAAGAGGGCAGAAAAGGGAGAGGCCATGGCTGTAATGCTCCCACCATGTACCAGCTGGCAAATCTAACTGGGCAGGGGGCATCTCATGTGAAGGGCTTGACGCACTGAGCCCGGATTTAATAATGGCTGTTCATAGTGTGCCCTACTCATACATTTAACTTAACTGGTAAAGTATTTATGAACTTATCCCATCTATTAGATTACACGAGGCCCATACTTTGGTGGTGTGCAGCTTAGTTTCATTTGAGATTTTGAGTTTGTTTGATTATGGAATATGAAGTTGTGAAACATAAATAATGGACTTCTGTCTAAGGTGGTGGACTGGGGTCAGGGGATCTGGTATTAATTCCTGGTTTTGCCAGTCACTTCCTTTGTGACTTACATCTACAATTTAAAAAGCTACCATTAATTTTGGGTGCCCATCCTGAGGCATTCAGGGCCTGAATTTTTCAGATGCACTGATCAGCCATGACTCCAATAGTGGCACCCCTTGAAAATGAGGTAATTAGACCATAATCTCTGTATACATCATTCTTCCTTTGTGTAAAATGGACATAATGTTCCATTGAAATCAAATGAGAGTTCTGATTAAAAAGGAAAGTACAGTATGGCCCTGATTGATTTTTGGCTGGGAATTTTCAATAGCATGTAAATGTCTTAAGAACCCAAATGCTATTAAGTCACTTAGATATGTTGGAAAATATCACTCTTGTTAGAGAATGTTGAGAATATATAATAGTGTCCTAGATAATTTAGATGCAACCAAGATAATGAGACTAATTTTAATTGTTCTCTTCCTCTACCCATACTGAAAAAGGGAGCTCTAAGATTCATTTTACCAAAGAGCAGGGATATATTAACTCTAACTAATTTGGGTTTCTTAGAGTGATTCCTAAATATTTCAGGTCTTCCACGGGCCATGAGAATGAAAAGCTAATACAACTAGATAGAAAGCGCATAGAGGAAAAAGACCAGTTCATGCAGTAATCTGATATTACACTGCTTATTAACTGAAGGAAGAGAAAGAGGTTCATATTAAACATTATCTTTCCTTTGGTACTCTGACTTCCCCCTGCTGGATTAGAAAGTTACTCTGTGTGGTAACTGCCAAGATTTCTAGTGCTAAATGAAAAAATAATGAGGAAAAGGGGAAGCATTGCCTTGTGTTGCAGAGCAAACTTAAAAGTATAAGACCAGGACAAAATGGAGGTTTTAGAGTTAAAATAAGCTGTTTGGTGCCATCTTAAAGTTCTTCCTGAAACATGATTTTCACAATATAAAATGCAAGTATTACCAAGCTAGATTATCCAATGTTTTATTAGCATCAAATGACAAAGCCATACATGGGCTGAGATTGCTTTTGGCAAAAAGAGCCCTTGACTTTTATGAGAGCTTTACTTAAAAAAACAATGACATGATATGGTCATAGTTCCTTTGTAGGATAACTTGGGTAGTGTGGTTAGCCTACCTGATATCAAAAGCTTATTTTGGATATGAAAACTAAAAGTGATGCTAGTGTTAATTTAGCTTTGGTTAAATACTATTGAATATTTTCAAGGATAACACAAATTCCATCACTTTTCTGATGGTAAAAAGATGCATGAGTGACAGTCTCATTCCTAGCTATGAATGGCAGTGCCTACTCCTATGAGGAACCATGGGTAACCCAGAAGTCACACATAAGCAATTGACCTTGGCAGAGCACATACACATGGAAACAATAATTTCTAACATTCACCTTCATCCTTTGAAATCTTCCAATGGGAGTAAACATACATATTTTTTTCAGTCGCTGAGATAGCTGATCTAAATGGTTTACACCCTCTGTAGGATGGTCTACAGAACTTCTAGCTTTCTCCAATGTGTTTTATTGATCTGAAAACCGTTGCAATTATTCATTAAAGCCTGCTATTTGAGTCCAGTTCAGGAGCTAGTGTACAGTATATCCTTCCTAGTTTTAATTTCTGCTGCTTGTTGCCATGCATAATAATTGCATACAAAATTTGTGCAAATTCAGTATATTTGCATTTTGGGAAGGCAAAACATGCTGATATGATTTCCTCTAGCAAGTTCAGCCCCAACACATCTTTCTATGGCAATCAGGTTTGATGGACCCAAGGATTGTAGGATAGATCCTCAACTGGTGTAAATTGATACAGCTCCATTGAGCTGATGCTGAGCTGTTGTAAATTGGCACAGCTCCTTGGAGCATAGTTTCACTGACCTCAAAAGAACTATGGCCATTTACACCAGCTGAGGATCTGCTCCACTGTCCCTGAGAGTGGAGCCAGATTACCCAGTCAGAGCCAAGAAAGCAATGTACTATACCTCTGTGCACTAGGGAGGAGTCTCTGTGGCTGTGGAACCTGGGAAACTTCTTTACCTCTTCTGGTACAGAGGCACCTTGAGTTAACAGGAGCCCATAGGATCTTGAGTTTGTGTGTGGATATGTTTTTTAAATGTCTTGGTAAATCTTGAGGTTCATATTCACTCCTAGCTCAAGTAGAACTCTGACAGAATCAGTCACTTAGGAGATGCTGCTCTCGTGGATAGCATAATCTATCATTTCGTAGTGTCAGCGAGCCAAAGTGAAACTTGCCCTTCTGCTGGGTGGTTCTGGGGGTTCTGCATTTCCAATAACATCATCCCCATGGGTTGAATTGCTCTAAAGAGTTTGAGACTTAGATTGGGTAAAGTCACAGACACTGTTGCAAGAATGACTGAGAGGCTGCATGAGTACTATGCAAATGTACATAGAATCATAGAATATCAGGGTTGGAAGGGACCTCAGGAGGACCAATCCCCAGACTGATTTTCACCCCAGTTCTCTAAATGGCCCCCTCAAGGATTGAACTCACAACTCTGGGTTTAGCAGGCCAATGCTTAAACCACTGAGCTATCCCGCCCCCCATGGCTACCTAAGGGCTTGTCTTCACTACCCGCCCTGATCGGCGGGTAGAAATCGATCTCTCGGGGATCGATTTATCGCGTCTCCTTGTGACGCGATAATCGATCCCCGAATCGACGCACGTACTCCACCAGCCCAGGTAGGAGTAAGCGCCGTCGACGGGGGAGCCGCAGCGGTCGATTTGCCACCGTCCTCACAGCGGGGTAAGTCGGATCAGATACGTCAAATTCAGCTACGCTATTCCCGTAGCTGAATTTGCGTATCTGAAATCGATCCCCCCTGTAGTGTAGACGTAGCCTAAGAATCACTGTTCACTGCCTAAGGTATGGCTTGGTCTACAATTGTGGCACACAGAACAGGCTATAGAGTTCTACATCACAGAAGCTGGTAGGCTCAAGATTTGGCCTGCTAATAAGAAAAATGTATAACTATCACACTGGGCAATGGGAAATGTGTTTGTGATTAGCTGATTCCAAAATAATCCAGGAGAAAAATGTAATACTGATATGAAAGAGTGCTATTAGTAAAATGAAGGAGAAGGGGACATTTTTCCAGGTAAACTATGAGTTCTATGCTTGGGACAATTGATAGGGTCATTCATCCACATGTTCCATAGCTTTGTTTGAGTCATAGAGGCCTTCAGAAAAACAAGCGTGTGTTTGAGACTACATGACCTAAAAGGACTGTGTGTATCTTTGGAAACTGCTACTTTTAAAGGGGTACAATTTGAGGTGAATATTTTTTCTTTACGCTTTCTTTTGAAAGCATAGACCAGAAGAAAGGAAGGAAAAGAACTAACTGTTGAGGTTGAGGCAGTATGCTACAAATAAAATGTGTTTTAAATGTTATGAAAAAGTGCTAAAATGAAGGGGACCAAAATAGGGCATAATATAATGAGTGGTAAAATCACTAAGTCTGAGTATAAACAAGTATTTTTCAACAAGGCAGCTATGTGTGTTAGTGATTATAGTTAATGTAAATGTGAACATGGGATGGAAAACACTGTGGGGGAGATAAAGGAACTTAAAGTAAAACATCTACCCATTTATATTATGCTAGGTATGAACTGATGCAGAAAGGTGCAATTGAACGTAAAGATATTGGATTTGTCCCAGATATGTACACCTACAATCAGCATTTGGAGATGGAGAACAGAAGATTAAAGAAGGAATTGGAAAACTATAAACTGGCTGCCAGGTATGTTAGTTTTAATGGCATGCCGCTGCCTTCTTTTTTTAAACAGCAAATGCTCCAGATAAAATAAAATCAAACTCTTAATGGAATTAATACATTTCTATTTTCTCTGTGCCTTTGCACATTCTCACTTATGGATGAGGCCCTGAATGAAAGCTGAATGAAATTGCCAAGTATCTCTCAGCTCTGTCTAGAGAGCTGAGTCTGAATTTCTTTTGTGTCAGTTTGTTTGTTTGGCTTTAGTTGATAATATTTAAAATCCAGTAGTCTCAACAAAATACTCCACAGTATTATGAAAATGTAATATGTGGGGATAGATGAAAAATTACCATATCGTGCTATGTATCAAAATGCTACAAATTGTCATATTGCAACAAGTTGGTGTGTAAAGGAGAAGAATAATTCCTCGTTATACACCTGATCCTGTAGTCCTTTCAAATGTAAAACTTCTATTGTTTTTAGGTCTTGTTTAGTAGGTATCTGTGTAAATATATATGTATACATTTATTGACTGTATCTGTGCATATGGATCCACAGTAGCTGATTTTACAAGATACACAGTAATCACACTCAGGCCTGCTCTATACTGAGGGGGGGGGTATCGATCTAAGTTACGCAACTTCAGCTACGTGAATAACGTAGCTGAAGTCGACGTACTTAGATCTACTTACTGCGGTGTCTTCACTATGGTGTGTCGACTGCTGCCGCTCCCCCGTCGACTCTGCCTGCGCCTCTCGCCGAGCTGGAGTACAGGAGTCGACGGGAGAGCGCTCGGGGATCAATTTATCGCGTCTAAACTAGACGCGATAAACCTATCCCCGCTGGATGGATCGCTGCCTGCGATCCGGCCGGTAGTGAAGACATACCCTCAGTAATTTACATTCAGACTGTATAATGGAGAGATGCAGCAGTGAACTACACTGCAGTCTTTTTTTGATAACTCTTTTCTGCATTTGTGTTCAATGTTGATTTGCACTGACATCTAATGGGCTTTATTAGGAGATGAACTGTGAGTAAAACCATCCCTTTATTCTTCTGTGCAGCCTCCCTTGTGTCTGGGTGGGAACCAGGCAACCAGCTACTCCCATTTAAGTAGGTAGGGGAGGAGTGACAAGCTGCAGTCAAAGAAAGAAAAGCAAAATGTTAGCCCTGATATTTTTGTCCGTTTGATGGTATTGTCTACAGATTTTTCTGTGTAGAAGAGAGCATGCTCCTCGTTTGCACAGTATAATAACGAACTTCTGACTCATCAGGGTAGATCTTCAGCTGGTATAAATTGTCAGGTCCATTGACTTCAATGGATTTATGACACTGCTCACCAGCTGAGGACCTGTCCTGTATATCCCAAGTCCCAGTGCTGGGTGAAATATACTATACCATATATTTCACTTGGAAGACTTCTATGATCAGCCTTTTTTCCCCATTGGTGATACTAAGCTTAATTTTTCAATGCTTCCAGCTGAACATACTGGGGGAGTGCTGATTAGACTGATTAGACGATAATACTCATTATACTCAATGTATCAGACAGAAAGTTTTCATGGTGAGATGCATCGCTGTGAAATGTATTTGAAAATAGCTTCTAATTAAATTTGTTGCTTCTGAGCTTGCTGTTGTTGACAATCATCTTGCTGAAAAGGGACATTATTTGTGACACCACCAGTATGGGGGCCGAGTGTAAGAGACTGCAAACCAATTTCCTCCTGCTTTAATGTTGTTTAACCATCATAGGAAGAGCTTTAGTGTCTAAAACTAAATGTAATGTTGTTGTTTTAATACAGTATTAAAATGATTGTACTGCAACTGTAGACACACTTACTAGATTCCTAACTGTTACTCAGACACATTTCACCATGGATTTTCAGCATTTAAAGAGAAATTCTTGATCAGTTTCAATTCCTGTGCACAATAAATAATACATTTTAATAGGCTGTCCAATGTCTGAAAGCCTCTATCGGCCCACTGAAATATCTAGAGAAAACACTAAAAGAAATATGGCACGTGTGCAGAAATGCCCCTTCTACTCCAACAATACCTCCACAGACATTAATTACCATGCAAAAACTTTGTTAAACTGAAATTTAGGCATATCAATAATTTTAGGGATTTTTTTTTTAAATGAAATGTTGTAGTTCTAAAAATTAAACATTTGAAAGTCATGGAAATCAAACTTAAAATTGCATTTATTTTGAGACTGTAGAAATGTAGAGATAAAAACCCAACAATCTTCATTCTCCTCTTCTGTCCCTTGTATTTTCCAGACAAGATTCTAGGCTTGTATAAATTAGTATAGTTCCATTGAAGTCAAGTTCTAATTGGTTGGCAAGGCAGCTTTGTCTTCTGCTGTAATACTTCTTTTGCTATAGCAAGGATATTGTCTCTAGCTATATAGTGTACAAATAAGGAAATGTTGAAAACATTAACTCTGAAACAATGTATTTGAATACATTAATTGAGATTTATTTGTTGATTTAAATCCATCTATTTAACTAACATATACATGGAGGATTTGATCTCAGCTGGGGTAAAGAAGCATAATTCCATTGTTTTCAATGTTGATTTACCCCAACTGAAGATATGACCTTCTTTGTATATTAGTTACTTTTCAGTCAAGTAATATATCACAGTTTCAAAGCCAGTTGGAATATTAAATCTTGGTGATCTGAGATGCCTTGAATCTCTTTAGGCTTTGGCCTTTGATTTCAGAGGTACCTTCCAGTCCTATGATCCTATGTTTACCTGCAGCTGTAGATATTTTAAACCATTTCCTATATTATTTAAACAGAGGCTATGGACTGTGTGTGCATATCTCTAGTGGTAATCACATTTAATGTGCCCTTAACCACAGAGGGCCCCAACCACTATGTATTGCAAAGAGTTATAAAATTTCTAGCACCTGATGTGGTGGGAATGTATTGGGTAACTGTGATGATAACTGGATGTGTAGATCTTTGGGTTGTATATGCATTGTAGTAATAATAATAGTAATACTTACCAGAGCCTTAAGTCTGGTTATATTTACATGGTTTACAAACATCAGTTAAGTTAGCCTTACAGTGTCCATGTGAGGAAATCTATTGTTCTCATTTTACAAATAGGAATCTAATCTACTTGTGGCACAAGAGATTAGGGTCCTGACTTTCAAAACTGTGCATACAATTATATACCGTTTGCAGCTGAAGTCAGACTGTCAAAATGTAAAACCTTCCTCAGAATTGATAATCATTTAAAAAATAGAACCCTTGCTTGACTTCCTTCCCACTGCACCAAAAGCCCAAACAAGTTTGCTTGCCTTTGCCGCAGAGAAAAACACCTTTTTGTTTTTGTTGTTTTTGCTCTTTCATTATGTGCAGCACTTCATACAATGATACGTGCTGCATACAGTGTGTAGGTAAGTCAAGATGTTGGTGTGAGAATGCGTGGTTTCTAAAAGGTTTCTCTTTATATTACAGATGATTCAAAGTTTAGGGCTGGGTTTTTCAGAGTTTACAGGAGTTAGGTGCCAAATTCCATTGCAATTCAGTGGGAACTGGGTGACTAACTCCCTTAGGCTCCTTTGACAATCTCAGCCTAGTTCTATAAATGGCCCTGCTTTTCCCGCCTCTAATTCTGTTTAGTTAACTGCTTGTGAAGAGAGCAAGACTGACAGCCCTTACACTAAAATTTCTGACATATGTACCCACCAAAAGGGATAGAATTGGCAATGCTACAGCTGCAGTGGGATTTTCCACACTCTGAACCACAGTCCACCTGGAAGGATCATTTTCACGAACAAGGACTTCATGAGAGTCTTCAGTTTCTCATCTGAATAGCATTGTGATGGTGTTCTTTTTTGAGCAGACAAAATTCAGTAGAAAGTAGACTGAGACCATCAACTTTTTCTCCTCATTTCAGTTACTACCAATCTGGGATGGATTTGAATCAGTGATTTAGGGCTTGTCTACACTGCCCCGTGATTAGGACTACGGGGATGTGAGTAGCAGTGGGTACCAAAGTGCTGCACTGTAACCACACCAGCAGGATCCACAAGGGGAAATGAAAAGGTTTCTACTTAAAATATTCCTCTTCAAGCAGGACTACGCTAATGTAAACTAGGAACCTCATAGATTGCATCTGCAGCATCCACATGGGGGAGTGTGGCGGAGCGATGACTGACTGGTGCGGCACCTCCTGCTGGTTGCCTCAGGAATTGGCTCTTTTCAGCCCGGAGCACCCTCTGCAGGCCAGTGTCTCGCCTGCCGCTGGCCCCGTGTTCCTCCCAGACCCCGGTGCCCTCTGCCCAGGGGTTCTGCCCACCACAGTACCCCCTTGCTCTGGGTCTCCCCTCCTGGGGGAACCCCCAACCCTCTATCCCCACCTTGCCTCAGTGGCTACTGTCAGTCATCTTCTAGCCCCCATTCCCTGTGGTGGACTGTAGTCTATAAACCACTCATCATCGGCAAGGGGGTTAGGAACTGCTGCCTTTGCCTATCTCTGGGCTGCCCCCTGCCACCCCAGTACCTTTTTAGCCCTTTTTGCAAGGCCTGCAGCCTGGGGTTTTTCCTGACTGGAGCTCCCCAGCTCCCTCTGCCCTTCCCCAGCACTGCTCCACCACAGGTACCCTTCTCAACTCCCAGGCAGCCAGGTCCTTCTCTCTCAAGAAGCTAGAGAGAGAGTGAGTGTCCTAGCTTCTGGCCCACCGCCTTCCTATAAGGGTCAGGTGGGCCCTGATTAAGCTGGCCACAGCTGTGGCTGCTTTCCCATCAGCCTACATTTTCCCCCGGCTGCAGCCCTCTCCAGGGCTGCTTTAACCCCTTCAGGGCCGGAGCGGAGTGACCACCCCGCTACAAGGAGTTACAGTACAGGACTTTGGTACACAGTGCTATTCACCCAACTATAGTCTCAACTACGGGACAATGTAGACATAGAGTTAAAAGATTCTGTATTCCATTATCCATTTCTTAAATCATCGTCTCCCAAGTTCCAGTCTTCAAGAGATTGAATTACAAGTTTCACATTGTGTTTTCATGCAGCAAAGCTAAGGAGGCTCTGCAAAAAATACAGAAAGAACGTGATTTCCATCGAATGCACCATAAGCGAGTGGTCCAGGAAAAAAACAGGCTCATTAGTGATATTAAAAGGTAAGCAAACTGATCTTTTTTTACTGTCACTTAACAGAAAACTAAGTGAGTTTGAGTTGTTACTTGGCAATGTTATATCATAGCTGAATTTTAAATTGTTAGACCAAAGCAGTTCTGATAATTGGCAGTTCTGCCCAGCCTTGAAAGCAGAGAAATGATAACCTAGGCCTCTAAAATTCAAATGTCTCCAGTGTTTCAGAAATTGGAGGAAACTTCCTAGGATGCACAGAAAGGAGACATACATACATAAACTATTTTTGGTACATAAAGCATGTAACGTTCCTTGACTGTCAATTCCTTTTTTTCATGGTGGTTGAAGAAGCTCGCTTATTTGTTTCAACTTGAGTTAGATACAACTAAATCAATCTTCTTTTTTTAAATGTCATTAGTTCTTGTTCTTGACAGTTGTTGACTATGATTTGAGCTAATCTTAGAATGCCATAATGTACTTCTTTTTGTGTACAGCAAAAATGTCCAAAAGAAACAAAAAGAAGTACATTATGACATTGATAGGTAGAATGTACATTATGACATTAATAGGTAGAATGAAGGAGAAGGATTGGAAATATATAAAAGCAAATAGTACTTTGCATTTAAACAGCATCTTTCATGTGAACACCTCAAAATGTTTCCCAAAGGCAGCTGATATTTATGATAGTCTGGAGTGCAATCCTGATCAGTGAGGGGCTGTGTCACCCCTGAAAACGTGGGCACCTCACCGTGCTTTGCTGTTGTAGCTTCCAACTTGGTTCAGCAACTCTTAGCTTGTCAGCAGCACACTAGCCACCCTTTGACTTCCAGCAGCCTTGGCCACTACTTGTAGGGCGACCCCAACACACTCCTAGTCCTGAATTTCCCCCCCAGAACATGTGTTCTGTACTGTCCAGCTCTCTCCAGGACAATTCAGATATTTTACATCCATTGCCCCTGTAGGGAAAAATATACAACAATTTGCTACTTTCATTGGAGCTACCCAGATAATTCACGACACTGGATTAGTTTTGATTAAAGAATAAAACACATGTATTTAACTACAAAGAGAGAGTTTTAAGTGAGTACAATTATAAGGCATTAAAGTCAGAATTGGTTACAAGAGAAATATAGAGAAAATGCTTTCTTATTAACTAAATTTAACAAACCAGACTTGGTTCAAGGTAAAATTCTTATTACATACTCTCAGCCAGGGCCGGCGCTTCCACTAGGTGACCCTAGGCGGTCGCCTAGGGCGGCAGGATTTGGGGGGCGGCATTTTGCCGCCCTCAGCGGAAATTCGGCGGCGGGGGTCCTTCCGCTCTGGGTCTTCGGCAGAAATTCGGCGGCGGGTCCTTCCCTCGCTCCAGGACCCGCCGCCGATGTGCCTCGAAGAGGCGGAGCGGAAGGATCCCCGCCGCTGAACACCCCAGGCCCCCTGAATGCTCAGAGGAGGAGCGCTGCCGCCTAGGGCGGCAAAAACCCTGGCGCTGCTCCTGCTCTCAGCCACAGGGCTGACAAAATTGCTGGTCAGGATCTCTCCCAAAGTCAAATGGCTGCTTTCTTTGTCATCTTAGGTGAAAAAGAAAGAGAGAGAGGTAGGGAGAGACACTTTGGGCTTTTCTTGCCCCTCACTTTATAGTCTAGTCCCCCTGTGAAATGCATTTTCCTGCGGGTTACCCCTAGATAAAATTCCTTCCTGCTGTGAGGATGGAGACTAGGGGTCTCATGGTGAAAAAGGATCCATGCTGCTGTATGTTAAAATGTAGATCAATGTGTTACTGCTCCCCTTCTTTGCCAAAAAATGGTTACTTGGCAAGTGATTGCCCATCAACCTTGACATATGACTAGAGGCACCAGCTTGTTTTTTATCTTTAAGAAACAGGTTTATACACTCCCCAGACTTGTCTGGTAACCACATTTCAGTCATAATTTCAGATTATGTTAATAACTTTACATATAATGTTGCTACATACATTTCACCATGATATTATTGACCAGTGAGTTATTCGTTTTCAAATGATACCTCACAAGGCATATTTTGTACAAGTATCATTGCAGTAGTGTGTAGGGAGTGAATACAGGGGAGCGTTTTGGTCACAGTATTATCCCCACTTTTCGTATGGAGAAGCTGAGGCACAGAATGGTTAAGTGAGTAATTCAAGGCCAAACAATGTGTCAGTGGCAGATCTGGAAATTTCACACTGGTCTTGTGGCTCATAGCCCTGTGCTCTAACCCACAGACAACAATACATCCGGTAAAGCAGGAAGATGTTTTTAAAAGTAGCTTTAAGATATGAGTCGGAAACAAATACTTTAGTGGAGCTTCAGTATTGTCAAAGAATTTGTGTTGAAAAGGTGTGTGAGCATCACATTGCATACCTTCTTGCAGGTGCTGTACTACAGCTGACAAAGTTTGTCCCATCGAGTTCTGTGTGAAGTGTTTTGGAGTGTTCTGTGATACCTTACCACTGTGTGTATAGAGTTCATGGGGTGAAGTCCTGTCCCTAGAATTTTTTTTTAAATTTATTTTATCATTATTACCATATATGAACTTTCCATAGAAGCATTTAATTTCATTCATTACCCGTATTTATTACCTTTAAAAGACCCATTAGTGTTTGGTCAATTTCTTATCATTTTCTGTGTATTAATTCTGTTCAAAGTCTAAAAGAATGGTAACTATGTATTATAAAATCTACTTGATGTTGATGTAAGGCTGTCTGTCACTTGATCCATTCAAAGGATTTCTAATACTTTACTCCTCCATGCCTCTAATGCTGGGGATCCATTATTTTCCAAAAATGAGCATCTGGCTGCTAGTGATAATTGCGCTTTAATAGGTTTCAGAAGCAATAACCTCCTTTGGGCTGTAACCTAATAGAATAGGTTCTCTGGGTGGTCTAAATTTTAGTTACCTTGAAAATTCTATGTAACATTTTCCTCCCAGACACTATCATTTTAAGGTATGTTTGCACTTATGGTGGCCTGTAGCATACAGATGCTGCATGCCCGGCTAGCATGGGTATAAATAGCAATGTAGATGGTGAGACACTGCTTAGGTGATAGAGTGCCCTACCCACCTGACCCCTAGGGTATATACCCTGCATGGCTCTCTACTTGCCCAAAGAGTGCCTGCTATGTTTACACTGCTATTTTTAGCAATGTTGTGTCCTGTTGCCTCCCACTTGCTGGAGCCTTTCTCTGCTGTAGCGAAAGACTCCGGCAGCAGGGAAAGGTTCTGGTAGTGCCCCACTACTGGAGCCTTTCACTGCCGCATGTAGCTATACACTGCAGTGAGTATGGATGCAGCCTGCCTTTCACGGCAGCATGTAGCTATGTGAACCCTACGCACCACCCTAAGTGCAAACAGTCATAGGTCATTCCCACCATATATAGAGAGAGGTCCCTAATTCCTCCACATCGTCTTCTGCAGGATTTATGATTTCCTTTTTTGTATATTTTCCTTATTTTAAATGGAGTGAAGTACTATTGGTAAAGTATTTTGTAGTAATTTTCCTTAATGGTTAAACAAATAGATGAGCTATTGGCTTTCCTCTGGATATTTTCCCATTGTTACAAAGTGATATCTGGTTTTTAGATCAGTTTTTTCCACCAAGGTTGTCTTATCTTCTAGATCCGTCAGTAACAAGTTGTTGTACCTGTGGAAGTCAGGCCCTTTGAGGTGGTCTTTTCATTAATTAGTTTTTCTTGTTAATAGTCTTCTGAAACTTGAGCTTTCTACCTGGGATTTTAATTGCTTTTGGTGCAAATAAACCTAAACTGTTATATGACTATTCCCTATGAGTTCTTTAATATTAATTTCCATAATTTCATCATTACAGAATAGCTGCTGCTCCTGGAAATTTTGTGCTCCGCTCCCTCGGCTAGTATTACCTGCCATTCCTTGCTGTCCAAGTTAGGTTACTGACCAATACATCTACATTGCAAAACCAAAAAAGGCAAAAAATGTGCCGGCAAGTCTCAGAGACCAGGTCCACTGACTCAGGCTTGTTGGGCTCACATTATGGGAGTGTAAATGTTTCCCCTTGGGCTGGAACCTGGACTCTGAGACTCACCCCCCCACCCCAGATGGGTTTCAGAGTCCAGGGGCCAGTCCAAGTGGAAACGTCTACACTGCTATTTTTAGGCTTGTAGTGTGAGTCCCAGGAGCCCAAGTCAGTTGACTAGGGCTCTGAGATCCGCTGCTGCAGGGATCTGGTTTTTTGTTTTATTTTTTTGCGTTGTAGATGTATCACCAATCAACCGTGATAATTCTTTAGAATCTCTTCCTTGAGTGGATCAATTTTAAAACAAGCTTTGGGCCAAATCCTGGGAGTTGCAGATGTTAATTAAGTACCTCTCAACATCCTTCATGATTTTGGCTGACTCACATTATATACATTTTAACTTTACAGTCTATCTTACTGCAAGAAAAATCCCAGTTTTGTCTCTTTTTGCCAGCATTCTGGCAAAACACAATATTCTTGAAGTTGTTAATTGTTGTGTATTGAGCTGAACAATTTCTCCTGAAAAATATAGCATTCTCATACTTTGATTCATGAGTTGGTATGGGTGACTTAGCTTCTTGTTAATTTGATGAAAGGATCCAAATATAGTTTCTACTGTAATTAATGCTACAAAATTTCATATTGTAGCTGATTTCTCTAAATTAGTAGCCTACTTGGTTGTCAAATCCTATCTGCATTTTTCTTTCTCCTAATGAAATAACATCCATCTACAAGAAGGAAGCAAAGATTAAGAAGGAAGCAATGATTAATAAAGGTTAATGTATGTAATGCATTTAATGTATTTTGAAGATTAGGGGAGTTGCTGAAAACAGAAAACAAAACTGGATAGATTACTTCAAAAGGTTTTGGTGGCAGGATATACAGCTCCTATTACTGAATAACTGATACATAAATATTTTTCCTTGGCACTCCAGTGGGGTGGTTGCATGCTAAATAACATTAGCTGTGTCCTGTGTTTTGACCTTTCTACATTTTATTCTTCTCTATAGTACATGGGGAAAAAGTTATTTAGATGGAAATTGCTGATTTAACTCAGTCATCCTTTAAAATACATTTGGCTTTTATTGTTCATAGGCTGAAGGCACATTATGCATCATATGAGCCAATGCTGAAGCAGTTGACTGAAAAATACCAGACTATATTGAGACAGAAAATGCTAACCAGCCTGGAGAGAGACAGAGCAGTTGGTCAGGTAAAAACATGGTCAGCTACACTGGCAGAAACATACTGGCAGCTGATTCATAATTTTTGTTTAAATAAGAATAGGCTAGATTATTTCTGAGTTTCATGTGGCCTATTTACAAATATTTTGTTCTTTTGAAGTTGCTATAGGAATCTTGATGCTTTAGTTTAACGTACGCCGGACAGAATATTAAAGTCATATCTGTCTTCAAGTGCCCTGCTGATGTTATGTAGCTGAAGAGACAAAGTTTTATTAATGGTTTAAACTGGAAGTATTTACAATCAACTCCGTATCAGTGAGACAAAATCACTAATACAGACTGGAATTTGTCCTCTCTACTAGGCCAACCTTAAGTTGAACAGGGACTTTACTTGGGTGAAGGACTGTGTTAAACAAATTAACAACAGGAATGGGCGCACTGGAATCTTCTTTTTAATCATTCTTTCAGCTTTCATATTTGTGAATGAAACATCAGGGGAACTATGACCTAGTCAGATGACTTGCACTGAAACTGTATCAAAGTACTATAATTTTAATAATATATTAATCCTTAGAGCCCTGCAAATCTGTGGATATCTGCTTTATATCTGCGGACATCTGTGGACCATGTTTGTGGATTGTGGATCGGATGTGGATACAAGTTTTGTATCCACACAGGGCTCTATTAATTCTTATGGATCCTGCACAGGAAACCATCCTTAAAGGTTATTAGCTGCCACAATAGTTTTAATCAAATATTGTCAGTCAAAAAGGTTTAAAGAAAGGTATGTCAATTTATCTCCAATAGTTTCAGGAACTTCAAAACATACCTGTAGAGATGCAGGATCAGTAAGCTTCTATGATCTAAGCCTTCTAAGATCATTGTTAACCTCCAAATAATTTAGCTCAGACCCTAGAGAATTACACAGTTCATTTTTTCTACTTGGGAATGATCTTAAAACTCCTGCTTCCTGAAGTGGTAGGTACCAGACACAGACACCTTTGTCCTCCAAGTGGAGAGAGAGAGGTTGTGTTTTGCCTGTCCGTGGCCCTTTTAGTTTCATCTGATCTGTAGATTGGTATAGATGATATCTTGCCCCTTTAGCACAGGGATGAGTTGAGAACAAAGGTCTACATGAAGGAAAATATCCTAGAGGAAAAGAAGGGTTACGACCAATACATTGACACCCAGAAGAAGGGATCAATCATTTAAATGCGTAATAAAAGATTTATCTTGCAAAATCATCCTCTGATGCAATGAAAATGAAAGATCTTATACAGGACAGGTCAGTTTACCACCTACTAGGCTACTAGGATGACCGGCATTCCTTAATGTACAGTACCATATTGTGTGATCAGTTTTATTGTGACAATGCTTTGAGCCATATTGTGTCATCAGGTTAATTTTTAATTCAGTGAAAAATTATGATTAAAAGTTGATGTCACAATATGGCCCATAACATTGTCTTTATTTGCATTGTTTTAATAAATATGCAAAATTCCCACCAGAAATTCTGGATAGATTATTTTATATCATTGTAGGATTAAATATTTTCAAAATGAGTTATATTCGAGCTATTTCTTGAAAAAGGAATGGAATGAGTTGAGTAATTTAAAATCTTTATATAGTTAAACAGAGATAGCGAGTTAGATAAATCAGTAATTGTACATGGTATTTACTGCTTATTTATGCATGTGTGTTCTGTCTTCTGTACTCGTAATTATAGGGTACAAAAGCAATGTCCTCATAACTGTTCTTTATTTTTACTCTTTAGGTTACAGGTTTACAAGCTACGTTACAAAATTTAGAATCTGGGCGTGCCAGTGAGATCCCTGTGACTAGAGGTAAAACATTCTGTTAAACGTTCACATACACTATGAGGAAGGCATCTATATATAATACACAGTTTGAAATACAGTGGAATCTCAATTTTACAAACACAAGTCTTGTGAACAACGAGTTATACAAACCATTTGTCTGGTGGGGAAAAAGATAATCACATAATGAAAGGGATGTAATTGAAGAACAAGTCAACATCCCTTCACATGCCAATGCTTTCAAGGCATTGAAAATTGCCTTGCAGTGGTTTGAAGGACCAGAAGAAAGTGATGCAATGCATCATACTGCAACTTATGCATGATACCAACTGTAATTTTAAGAAGCTCAGTTTAGTTTTATGAACTCCTCAATCCCTGATTAGTTCATAAAATAGTGGTTCTACTGTACTTGCATTTCAAATGTTTTAGTGACAGCTACAAACTAAGGATTCAGTTTTGTAGTTTTATCACTTGAATACTTATTCGCACGTTTTGGTTCTATTGAGGACAATGAAATTACACATGTCAGTAAGGACAACTTTGCCTGAGTAAGTGTGGCGGGATCATGACCTAGAAACCTAATTTGGATCTGATTCTGCCATCTGGTTCACTATGTAGAACATAACCAGGAGAGCAGTCTCCTCTAACTCAGTGTAAGGTTGGTAGAATTTGATGTTTTGAAAATTCTGGTATTGTAGAGCTCAACAACTAATTTTAGCATATTGATCTTCTGCGGAGGTCTTTAATAACAGAGGATATATAATACCTTCTGGAATAACACCTATATCTGTATCTAAAAGAAGTACTTACCCTGACACTTTGAAAAAAGGAAGAAATTAGTGTAACTATTCAGTGAATTTTTTGTAGCATCCTCTGTGAAAAAGGTCCTTTTATGTGCTTTATATCCCTTGCAGACTTTTTTAAATTACTTCAGGGGAAACAAGGTCTGGAAAGAACTTCAACTTTTTGGTTTTTCTAATTCCTTTATTTGAGTGAAGGGGACAGCAAGTATTTCCCTAAACTATTGAGACGACTTATTTAACTCTTAATGCAGATATTACAGCACTCATCTTCTTCACTGCCATAAACCCCTTCCCTTTTGATCATGGTTTGGTTTGCGACTCTTGATTTAAAGGATGCATATTTTCACATTTCAGTTTGTCGCTGTGACACTAAACACCCCCGTATCCATACCCGACACACCATTGTAATAATCTTTGTAAAAAATATGTTGTGAGGTATCATTTGAAAATAATAACTTACTGGTCAATAATATTGTGATGAAATGTATGTACACATATAATATTGGGAAGTTGTGAATTTCCCTGTATGATACTAGCACATATTCAAAACCACATAGCCTTTCCTAGGTAAAAGTTGTTAAACAGGTCTATTATAAACAAAGGGATGTGTACTTACCTCAATTTACATACAAGTAGTAAACAGGGTACTAAAGACAGTGGGAGAAGAGATAGCAGGAACAGAACAATTTGGATTTCAGCAAACACACACGTGGAGGAGAAAAAAGCCTGGAGCTTCCTTCACCATCAGACTCCATGTCACCTTCTTCACTGCTTGAATGAGCTTTACTGTGAAGGGTAACCCTCAGAAGAATCCACTTCAAAGGTTCACTGGACTATTAAAGAAAGGGGCAAAGAACCCCATGTTGTCTCTTTCACCTAAGAAGACAAACACACCAATGCCTTTAGACCTCTTGGAGAGATCCTGACCAACGTCAGTCACTATCTTTCTGGAAGACTATGGGTGAGAAAGGCCATCTTGAACAAAGCCTCGAACCAGAATTTGCTAGATTAAGTTTTAGACTTTTAGATGCATGTTTTCACTTGCATTTGCTTGTAACCATTTCTAATTTAGGATTTTAAATGAATTCAAATATATCTTCTTTTTGTTAATAAACTTGTTTTATCTTTTTAATCTAAACCAATCCAGTGTTGTGTTTAAATGGAACTGTTTGGTAACTCCAGTTAAAGTTGCAAACTATTGACTCCTTACAGGGGCAATGGATCTTAATATCTGAACTGTCCACTAGAGGTCTGTACAGTGCAGAACACACGTTTTGGGAAAATCTGGGACTGGGAGTGTGTTGGAGTCATAACAAAGGTTGGTGGAAGCCAGAGTGTGACTAGTGCTTTGCTGACAGGCTGTTTGGGTCAGAGCTGCTGGATTAGGGCTGCAGCTCTTCACAGACACTCAGGGTGTGACTTGCATGCTGGTAGTCTGTTTGTGAGTGGTCCAGGTTAGGACCTACAACAGCAAAGCATTGTGAGGCATCCAGGGTTACAGGGCAGGCGGTGACAACCTCTTACTGGTCAGGATTGTACCCCTGAATGACAGTTGCTTTCATCACATACGTTCATTTAGTGGTGGCAGGATGCCATTTCCAATACGAGGTGCCCAGAGTTTCCACAAAATGCCTCTCTGTGGTAGTGGCATTTGAGAGGGCAAGGTATTTTTGTTTACCCTTATTTGGATGATTGGCTAATGAAGGTTGCTGCGCCTGAAGACCCGTTAAGCCATATTGCAGTTACAATCCATCTATTCTTGGACCTGGGGCTTCTCAACAATCAAATCAAAGCAATGCTTAACTCGCAGAATTGTGTTTGTAGGTGCCACACTGGACTCGGTGGAAGAAAGAGCCTTTCTGCTGGGGGACAGGTTTCTGAGGTTGAAGCAGCTTATTCTCAATGCTGGCGCGTGTCCGACTTGAAGAGTAATCTTTTTTTCCTTGGTCTCATGGTGGCCACTACCTATGTAACTCCTTTTGCCCAATGAGGCCTATGCAGCACAGGATGTCTCAGGTTTACTGTCCGAGTCCGGAACAATTTGCACTTGTGGGTCACCATACATCTTACTTTCACTGGAGTGGTAATTTAAGAGAACAAATGTCTTCAGAAGTGTCCAGTTTGATGCTCTGGCAGCATTGGTGAGGTTAACTTCAGATGCACCAAACAGTGGTTGTGGGGGGCACATCTGAATCATCGGGCGCTTCGAGGACATTGGTCTCATCAGGAAAAGATTCTGCACATCAGTGTGTTGGAGCTGAGAGCCATCTGTGTAGCCCTCAGATCATTCTTTTCTCACATGCATGGAAGGATGGAATAAGTAGTAATGGACAATACTGCTTCAATGTACTATGTCACCAAGCGGGGCGTGTGTGTGTGTGTGTGTGTGTGTTCACTTTCCTCCTCTTTGTGCAGAAGCAATAAGGTTATGGGATTGGTGCATCCTCCACTATGTGTTTCCAGTGACCCTACATTTGCTGGGAGAGAGCAGTGTGACTGTAGACTGTCTCAGCAGAGACTTGTCTCAGAAACATAAGTGATCCTTGAAGGATTAATTGGTTTACTACATATTTGCCAGAAGGAGTCGACCAGACATGGACCTGTTTGCAATAATGTGCAACAAGAAGTGTTGCCTCTTCTGCTTCAGAGGCAGCAGGGACATCCAGTCTTTGTCAGATGCTTTTCTACTGCAGTGGGGAAGGAGCCTGCAGTATGATTTTTATCCCCTTTCTATTGATTCAGAAAGTGGCAAGGAAGATACATCAGGACATGGCGAGGATGATTATCATTGCCCCAGCCTGGCCACACGAGCAATGGTATACTGTCTTTTCCAACTGTCTGGCAGAGTCTTCGTGTGTCTTCCTCTGTCACCAGGTCTGTTGTCTGAACAAGAAGGGAGGTTTCTTCATTCCAACCTGCAAGTCCTCCATCTGATGGCTTGGGTGATTGACTGTATCTAATCTGAATCAGTCTACCAGACAACATTACAAATCAAAATGGACCAGATTTATGACTTGGATGACTGGGAAGGGCATCTTTCCTGCTTCAGCAACCACACCCTATATTCTAGAGAAAATCTGATCTTTTTAAAATATGAAGTGATGTTATCTAATTCATCATTAAGGGTTCATTTGGGAACCATTTCTGCCCATCTTACCTTAATTGCTGGTAGCTCACTGTGCTTAATACAATTAAGAAGTTTATGAAGGGCTTATTTAATATGTATAGTCATTTGAGAGATCCTGTCCCTCTTGGGATCTCAATTTGGTTCTAGCCATGCTGATGAAACCACCCTTTGAATCTTTTGCTGAGTGTTCCTTGCGTTGTTTATCTATTCAAATGACTTTTATTGATATGCCATCTGCCAGAAAGGTAAGTGTGCTAAATGCTCTTGTGACTGATCCACCATTCATCATTTTTCATAAACATAAGTGGTTCTTTAGCTTGACCCCAGGTTTTTGCCAAAGGTGGGTTTCTGATTTTCATGTCAATCAGTCCATTGATTTGGTGGGTTTTGTTTTTCAAAACCACATTCTAATAAGGTTGATTCAGCTTTACTTACTTTGGATGAAAGAAGAATCCTTGTTGCTTATTACACAGAACAAAAAAGGTTTTGTAAATCATCCAGATTGATTTTGTTTTTATGCTAAAAATTGCATGGAATATAGTTTCTTCCCAGACCATTTCTAGGTGCATTAAATAATATATTATTGAATGTTTTATTCTTTGGCAGAGACTCCTCTCCCAGGGACAATATGTCCATATTTCACTAGCGCTGTGGCAATCTCTCTTGCTTCCCTTAAACAAGTCCCTGCTGTGGAGATTTGCAGAGCTGTTACCTGGAATTCTGTTCACATTTTCAGTAAGCATTGTGCTTTGGACTTGGCCTCTAGGGCAGATGCTGCCTTTGGTAGAGTGGTGCCTCAGTCTCTATTGAGTTAGGACTCTGTCCCCGCCTCCAAGTTATTTTCAGCACTGTTTATAAGTGGGAATATGTAGAGCCACTTGAACAGGAAAAGAAGGTTACTTACTTGTAACTCGAGTTCTTCAAGATGGCTCTGCATAGTCCTACTCCCCGCTCACCTTCCTGTCTTTGTCAGAGTCTAATTGCTTTTTGTTCCCTGACATTGCAGTGGAAGGAACTGAGGCGGTTGAAGGAACTCTACTCCGTATATAACCTCGCTCTCAGGATGTTTAGAAATCCTGAACGGGAAGGGGCTGGTG